ACGGATGTGCGCGGCGCGAAGGCGAGAACCGCATTTTGAGACCGAAAGCGAATGCACGTGGCGCTAGGGCGAGAGTCACATGTTGCGAAACCGCTGCCAATGTTTAATGTTCAGGGTCATGACTGGTGAGGAAGTTTTTGGCCAAACGCCCGACCCGCCCGTTCGATGGGCCTCGGGGTGCGAAAGGCAGGAGTTATTTAATCGCTTCGCTCACTCCGCCGGCCCATTTCGCATCCCTCTGAGTGCGTGGTGGTGTTCTCGTGCTCTTGGGGGCCTCTTGGGGGTTTCAGGGCCGCTCTTGGGGCTCTTGGGAGGCCCTGAGGGCGGCGCCCAGGAGCAGAACCATCTCTGATGGGAATTTGCTGGGGACCTGCCCGGGACCTGCTCGGAGTATTTGTCAGCCGCGGACCTCCAGGGGCCGCCCTGCGCGCGCGAATTAGAGATATAGTTTTCCAGTTGCCAGAGATCTCTGCACGCCTCTGGCCCGTTGGTCCGCCAGAGCTGACGCCTACTAGTGGCGTTCGGCCCATCCCGCCACCGTGCCTGGGTTGTGTGTCTGAGGCCACTCGGAGAAGACGGGGAGGTGGAGGAGGAGCAGGAGCAGGAGTAGGAGGAAGAGGAGGAGGAAGAGGAGGAGAAGGAGGAGGAGGAGGAGAAGACGGAAGAGGCGTTGGCAAATTTTGAGCGCGTTTGGCGTGAGGCCGTGGGGCGTGGCACCTACGAGTGGCTGTGGGCCTATCCAACCACCGTGCCTGAATGATTTGCCTGAAGCCATTCGGATGGCTGGTAGAGTTTCGAGGGAGGTTCCTCGAAGACGTTTTGGAAGGAGTTGTTATGTTTCTGGGGGAGCCCCAGGGGGCTTTGTGAGAGCATTGTGAGTCTCTTGTAGGCTCTCTTGGTGCCTCTTGGGCATTCTTGGAAGCTTCCTGGAGCTTCCTCGGGGCGTCTGGGGACCGAAGGTTCGAAATCTTCGTTCTGGTACATCCTCTGGGCCCCTCGTGGCGCAGTCTGGAGGCCGTCTTGGCGAGTCTTGGGGCTCCTTGAATCGTCTCGAGGCTCCCTGGGGCTGTCTTGGGGCCCCCTTGGGGAGCCTCCTCGGCTGTCTTGGGGCGATCTTGGGAGCCCCTGGGGCCATCTCGGACGCTGCGAAGACTGACGAGGCGAATCGGGTGAACATGTACGTTTCACCAAGGGAATGGAACGAGGTTTGCCTCTCGGGGTTCTCTTCGGAGGCGTTTTGGAGGCGTCTTGGACATAGTGGAGGCCTCTGGGGCCGTCTGGAGACCATCTTAGTAGACGTCTGGGAACGATCTGTGTGCGACTCGGAGCTCTCTGGAATCCCTTTGGGGCGCTCCCGGAGCGATCCCAGAACCGCGCCCCGGAGTTAACCTCCGCCCTCTCCGACCCCGAGTCTGCCGGGCGTCCGTCCGCTTCTAGGGATCCCCGGGGGCCGCCCCGCGCGCGCGAAATATAAATATGTTTAAAGCTGTCACCAGACATTTCAGCATGCCTCTTGCCCGTTGGGCCGGCGAATTCATCAGGAAAAGAAATGGGGGAGAAGGAGGATGAGAAGGAGGCGGGGGAAAAGGAGGATGAGGAGGAGGGTGAGATGGAGGAGGAGTAGAAGGGAAAATGAAAAGACGAGGAGTATGAGAATGAGATTTCTGAGGAGGAGGAGGAGGAGGAGGACGAGGAGAAGGAAACAGGGGAGGAGGAGGCCGGGGGAGAAGGAGCAGAAGGAGGAGAAAGAGGAGACAGACGAGGAGGACGCGGAGGAGGAGACCTTTGTCGGGCTGCCGGGTCTGCCATTATCGAGTAGCCTTCGGCCCATCCGCCACCGCGCCGTGGTTGCTGGTGAGAGGCCACTCGGATGGGTGATGGAGTCTCGTGGGAGGCTTCTCGGAAGCCTCTTGGAGGCAGTTTTTTGGGGCCTCTCGGGGGCCTGTAGGGGGCTTCTTTGGAGCCTCTTTTTGGCTGGTTGGGGCGTCTCGGAGATGTCTTGGGGGCTTCGGGGGCCTCCTGCAGGCGTCTTTGGGCCTAGGGCTGGAAATGTCCGTTCGGGTTCCTCCTCCAGGCCCCCCTTTCTGGGGGCCGTTTTAGGAACGTCTTTCGCCGCCTTTGGGGCCTCATGGACCGCCTTCGTGCCCCCTTTGTGGCCGTCTTGGGGCCCATGTTGGGGCCTGTCGACCCGTCTTGGGGCGATGTTTGGGGGTTTCTGGGGCCGTCTTGGACGCTGCGAAAGCCCAGGAGGCGAATCTGCTTATCATGTGTCTAGCAGGGTCTGGTTGCCTGGGCCGGCCCACCCCGCAACAATTGGGAAAAGCCCGCTGATACCCCCCCCCGTTTCGCTCCCCAGAGGCGGCCCAGAGAGGCCAAGAGAGTGCCAAAACGAGCCAAACGGGTTCCAAGAAACCCCCAAGACGGTGCAAGCAGGTCCCGAGCTGCCCAATGCGGCCCAGGAGGGCCCCCAGAGCATTCCCAAGAGGGACCCAAGAGGCCCAAATCATTACATTCCTATGAGGCCGCCTAAGACGGCCAAGTTGGCCCCAAGACGGCGCCCGAGACGGCCCAAGAAGGCCCCGAGTCGCCCAAGACGGCCCAAGATGGCCCCAAGACGGTCCAAGAAGGCTCCGAGGCGTTCCAAGAGGCTTCCAAGAGCACTCCCAAGAGGGCCCCAAGAAGCCGCAATCGTTCAATTTCAACGGGGAAACGTACAGTTGTTTCATATGACGGCCCAAGAGGTTCCCAAGACTTGCCCAACAGAGCCTAAGACATTCCCAAGAGGCCCTCAAGACAAAGACAGCCCACGAGAGGGCCAAGACGGCCCAAGCGCTGCCCAAAATTGCCCAAGTTAGCCCCAAAATGGGCCCCAAGAAGGCCCAAGGAGGCCCTGAGTCGCTCAAGACTGCCCAAGATGGCCACAAGAAAGTCCAAGAAGGCTCCGAGACGTCCCACGAGGCCACCAAGAGCACTCCCAAGAGGATCCCTAGAGACCAAACTCGTTACATTCCTGTAGGCAAAACGTACATTTTAAGCATATACGATTTGGGAGCCTTCACGGCTTTGGAGACAGTCCAAGAGGCCCCCAAGTCTTCCCCAAACGAGCCGAAGACTCTCCCAAGAGGCCCCCAAGATAGCCCAAGAGGGCGTCAAGACGGCCCAGGGGCCGACTCAGACGGCTCCAGGAGGGGTCCAAAAGAGGAACTCCGACTCGAAAGTAGCAGCCGCCCGCCCTGAGAACCTCCTAGGAGGCCTCTGTTCATCCTGAGTCGTTCTCATCCTGAGTCGCTCTTTTGGCGCTCCCCAGGCCCGGTGTAAGGGCCCCCGGAGGCCGAACATAGCGAGGATCGAGGAAGAAATGATGCCATACACATAATTGTTTGGCGCCCCGCGCGGATTCCCTGGATCTGCGTTGGACCCCCCTCCCTGGCGCGCGGAGCGCGCCAGGGGCGGCGCCAGAGGCGCCGCCAGGTCGGCCCAGCGTGGATCCAAGAAATCCGTGCGGAGCGCCACAAAAGTTTATGTGTGTGCTGCTGCTGCTGCTGCTGCTGCTTCTGCTGCTGCTTCTTCTCCTTCTTCTTCTTCTGCTAGAAAAACCTCCCGTCGCGATGTTTCCACAGCGCGAGAGGGTCTGGGAATGCCCCCGTCGAAGGGGCCCCACAAGGCCGAGGTGCACTGGATACGTATGAAAACCGAGCCTCTACGGGGCCGAATGTCTATCCATATCCAGAGCGCCTCGAGATTATGGGGAAGGCGTGGCGAGTTCTTCAAAGTTCGACCGTGAAGCCTAGCTAGAGCATAAGCGCGCGCAAAGCGCGCGCGTGGTTCTAGTATATACATAAATACGTGCATACACATTTCGAAGGCACACCGCGCGTTCGCTGTCTGGCTCGATAGTCGGATCAACGCCGGGCTCGACGCAGAAATTGGATTCTCAAAACATTGTCGGCGTCTCCTGTTTGTTACGAGTGGGCGATTTGATACAGCTGACAGAGAGCCCCGCCGAGCTGCCCATGTACACTTGTTGATATGTGTATATATAAACATACATACATACATACATACATACATACATACATACATACATACATACATGAATATAGGGAAAGAGTGGACGTGTATACTCAGATCTGTACGATATCTATATGTTTATATATATATGCATATATATATACATATAAACTAAATATCCACACCCTTGAATGCACATAAACATACGGACGACCAGGACAGGGTGATAAACAATGAGAGAGAGAAGGGGATAGACGATAGACCGTGCACGGAGGGTGCGCCCGTCCAGAGGGCTTCTGTCAGCACCCATGTGAAGGGCAACAGTCCACCTGCCTGCGACCGATTGCGAACCCTATCCCTGCGGGCCCACTCGACGCCGGGGCCCGCCTGGCTGCAGACCTCCCCCAGACTCTGCACCCCGGCCGGCGTCTCGGACCGCCGACCTGCACGGGTGGGGCTCGCGCGCGGCCGCCCGGTCTGGCTGCCCGTCCCCCGCAGCCCCACCTCCCGCGGCCTCGCGGGCCAGGTGGGGTGGAGGACCAAACTTGAGGGGTCAAGTATGAGCCCAAGCAGAGACACTCCCGATTGGGGTGGGAGCCCACGGGGGAGGAGGGGGAGGAGGAGGAGGAGGAGGAGGAGCCGGCCTCCCACAGATGCCAGGCGTTGTTGTTCGCGGAGGCCCCGCGCGGCACGTACCCGTCCGAGCGCGCATCCGCGGGATCGCACCCTTCTGAGCCCGGGCCGCGAGGGCGGGGCCAATGTCGGAGACCTGGAGGTTGACACCGACACCGACATCGGCGATGTGCCTCCACCGAGCGAAGATGGTCCCGATCTCGGCGATGGTGGTAAGATTCGGGCTTCCAGTGTGGCCGGAAGATTACCACCAACACCAAAATCTAGGATCGGCATCGCCATTCCTTCGGGGAGGCAACCCTCGGTGTCGGTGTTGGTGCCCACTTCTAAGCCTCCAACTACAAGCACGTTCGCAGCTCGTGACCCGAGGCGAAGACGAAGGACTCCGCCATCAGTGCGCTCACGACGACCAGCACCCTCTCCTCGACGAGCGTGGGCCTCCCCGAGGATCAGGCCATGCGAGCCATCCAGGCCCGGCGCGCGGGGTCAGAGACCGACAGAGCAGGACAGGTTCTCCAGGAGGCGAGAGATCTGGGAGGTCGCCGTCATTTCACTACCGATTTCTCGGCTGGAAAGCAGGTCCGCGTGATTGCCTTCCGCACCGCATGGCACAAAGGGGCAAGCCCTGGTCCACCCCAAGTCTTCGATGAGGCTCACAGGGGCTGCTCTCGCGGGGCCCGTCATCAACGCGGCCTTGGCTGGGCTGGAGTCCTCGGCGCGGTGGGTACTCCAGATCTCGTAATAAAAGGGAGGGGGTCTGGACCCTCCAAGACAAGCCATTTCAGACCCCCCCCGTGGGAGAACCCTCCAAAATATCGTCCCCAGACCCCCCCAGGCCCTCCAAGATAGCCTGGAAGAGACCCCCCCCGAAATGAGACCCCCCTCCCTTTATTACGAAATCTGGAGTACGGAAAGGCTCGGGACGAAGACCGACGGAGCAGCTCTTGCCCAGTTCGAACAGGACTCGTTGTCGCCGTCGCCTGGGGCGTTGTCTATCTGAGACAGAAGGTCGCCTACCCAACAGCGGCTGCTTTCGAGTTGGACAGCACTTGATGTTGGGCATCGCGCCCACTGCTTCCGTACCCACGTCGGCTGTGCCAATCAGAGGCCCAGACAGCCATCGATGTGATCGCGGTTCTCCTTGCTTTCGGTTCATGGGGCCCACCATCGGGCATCGGGCCCAGGCCGAAAGAAACCCTTGCTGGTAAGGGGTCGGGACCACAGGGGCCGCGCATTGAAAAAGTCACGTCGTCACATATCTGGGAATGTCGAGGGTTTTTGGCGTCCCCCCTCCCCGCGTCGATGAAACAATCACGACGGGACTGTCAACACAAGAATCGGGATGAACAGTCCGTCCTGGGGAAACGGTCCAGAGTTCTGCGGGTCCACGTCGTGAACAAAAACACGACTGAGGCATTCTGGTTTGTCCGAGGAGGATTTGGGGCGCTTTCGGCGACCCCTGGGGGTTGTCGCGCGTTCGAAGGTGTCGGTGACCGGATGATGGCATGTCGAGGAGCGGTCGGGAGCGGAAAAGAGGGGGGTGATGACTAGGGGGGGGTGGATATCATGGCGTGGGCCATGATATTTCCCCAGATCTCATGGCGCCTCTTCTTATTTCATTACGTCCCTGGCCCCCCCGCTGGGCCGCGCACATGCCGCCGGTCATGATTTGCACCCCCCCCTCTTGGTCACCCCCCTCTTGGCCGCTCCCGAAGCGGGGATCCAGGAGGGAGGTCGGGAAAGGAGGAGGGAGAGAGGAGGAAGTAGGAAGAAATCTAGGAGGGATGAAGGAGGGGCCCAGGCAAGGGGTGGATGAGGGAGGAGGGACGGAGGAGCGATGGATCTGCAGGGGGGAGATGGGGCGAGGAGTGCTTGTGGAGGTCTTGGCGACTTTGGGTAGAGGGGATTATGCACGGATAGTGTTGCAGTGTCATCGCTGTACAGTGGGAACCCATGCCAAGACACCCTGTGCTTGCCTCCAGGGTGGGCGCCCTGGGTTTCTTGGGTTTTGATGGTTTTGCTATGAAAAGCGTGACGCTCCCACCAAGAATGACTGGACGTCATGGGGTCTCAGGGTTGGGTTTCTTGCGGAAGGTTTCTTGTGGTCGATGTCCTATTGCATTGTGAAACAGATTCGGCCTTCTTCCACCCATCCTCACCCCCCCTCGATTGCCGCCGTTCCTCCGTCATCCTGCTCGTTGACTCATTCATTCATTCATTCATTCATCGTTCCACCTTCCTCATCTCACCTACGCGCAGAGGGGGGTGGGGGGAGGGGGGAGGGCTTGTCAGAAGCACCCCTGCTTCTTAAAAGGCGCGGGCCTCATCTATAGATGTCAGGCCGGTGCCTTCTAAGAAGAGACTCCTTCTAAGAAGCCCTCCCCGTTTCCTCCACCCCATTGTGCGCACCGCATCCGCTTGCTCCTTCATCTCTCCTCGTATCATGTCCACCATCCTGCCTCCATCAGTTCTCCTCGTCCTCATCCTTCCTCTTCCCTTTAATAACGGGAAGAGGAAGGTCGCGAGGGAGGGGATAATATCCCCTACCTCGCAACATCTCTTGGAGTTCACTCTCACCGGGACCTCGAAGTAAATATGGCAGCTGCGGCGGGGCAACCCAGGCACTCTAACGAGAAGGAGAAGCGGGAAGGGGCGGCCGTGGTGGCGGTTCCAATGGAGTCGGTTGTTCTCGTTGGACTGGGCAAGTTGTTCAATTTTATGATATTACCTTTAGGTCGGGCGTGTCCCCCTACAGAGGGATTTTGGGCGAATGCACACCGAAAATCAAAACATGTTCAAACACAGACGTCCCCAGACCATTCCTTATGTTTGCATACTCCTCCTGCAGAGGGACAGGCCCGACGTAATGCTACCTTCTCGCGCCCCGAAAAGGCACCAAAAGGATGCAAGACAGTACTCCAGATTTCGTAATAAAAGGGAGGGGGTCTGGACCCTCCAAGACAAGCCATTTCAGACCCCCCCCCGTGGGAGAACCCTCCAAAATATCGTCCCCAGACCCCCCCAGGCCCTCCAAGATAGCCTGGAAGAGAGCCCCCCCGAAATGAGACCTCCATCCCTTTATTACGAAATCTGGAGTACCTTTTCGCGCCCCGAAAAGGCACCAAAAGGCTGCAAGACGGTAACTCTTCAAGACGGGGCTCGCACCCGCAGGGCAGGCCCACGCCCAGTGTTGCTCGTCGTTCCCGGGGGGCGCCTCTCCGCAGTGAGCCACGGGAGATCGCGGCTTGCCGCCGCCGAGCGAGGCGGCACCGGCCGCATTTTTGGGAGGGCACCGCATGGATTTGGCGACCGCGCGCCAAATCCATGGGTCGCTGATCCATGTTGGCGTTCCCACGAGTTCTGGTGGTCTCCAAACCAGGTGGTGAGACACCCGGTGGCGACCCCGATTCCCCCCAAAAATGATACTGGGTCACCGCCGGGTTCGGGGACACGCGGTCGCCACGAGGTGTTGCGCTTCCTGGGCCAACCAGCGCTCGAAAACCATGACCCAAGTCGCCCACAACTCACGACCAGGTGTTCTCACCACCACGTTCGGGGACCACCAAGAGCTGCTGCCCCCCTGGGTTCACAGGAGGAAGCCGAACTCACCACCCACCAAACCACCCCAACCCAACCCGAAGGCTCAGATTTACCCTCGATTTCCAGTGGGGGGGGGGTCGGGAAACATCGAAAAAACACATGTGGAACCCTTACCCCCCCCAACCCGAAATTCGGGTCTTCGGGTTGGGTTGGGGTGGTCTGGTAGGTAGTCACGAACGAAGGACTGCCTCGAATGCGCGAGGGGCGCTGGTCTTCGCGCCGCTCCTCGGACCCCGGGGCCGGGGGGGCCCGGGCGTGGCCGAGGCTCGCCGCGGCCAGCAGGGGCCCCCCCTCCGCCGCCGTGCCTGGCCGCTGCGCCTGGTGGCGCGGTGGCTGCCTTGCCGCATCGCTGATTTGGCATCGCTCGGACGTGTGCATTTTCGAGGGAGAAAAAGATACGGATACGTGTTGTCCCCATCGTTTTCGGCCTTTCCTGGTCCTCCTGGGGAATCCTCGTTGTCACCGCTGGATTCGCCTCGAAATTCTGGTCAGAACGCACCCCAAGAGAGGTCCGGGGACAACACGTATCCGTATCTTTCCGCCCCCCAACATTTTTCTTTCGGCGAGGACCATCGAGGAGCATCCTTTCGGGGGAGCGTAAGACCCGGGTTTGCCAGGACTCGGGTTCGCCCATCGTGTTTTGACGGCCGCGGTTCGGAGTCTGACGAGCAGGAGTTGCGTGGGATGTCTGCCGCGGGAGGCCTCGTCAAAATGCAGGCTCAGCCTCGTCATTTTTTGACGACCTCGTCGGGGATTTCCGAGTCCCCTGTACCCGGGTCTTACGCCCCCCTGATCCTTGATCATTGGGCGAAAAAACCACGCACGAAACCGAAACAAAAACACGGAATGGACGTCCGAGCGATGGCGAGTTTTTGCACGCTGGGCCTTTTCCAGGTCGGGCATGCCCCTCTACAGGAGGAACCCTCACGAGTGGTAGACAGACCGTCTGGCGACGATGTATCGTGCTCTGTTTGATTATAGTTTTGATCATTTGTTGACTATGGTTTCACTTGTCTTCCAAAACCCGCCTGTAGGAGGACATGCCCGACCTAGGCTTACTCGAAGGCGCCCTCGAGGGCGCGAAGTTATTCGCGCTTCGCGGTTCGGTTCCGATTCCTCCTCGTCCTCCTCTTCTCCCCTGGGAGGCGGCTCGAGAGCGCGAAGCTGTTTGTACCTCGCGCTTCGCGCAGCGCGAGAGCGCGAAGCTGGGGGCCCTTGTTACTCTTGCCCTCCCTATGGCCCGCCCTGGCCCGGACCCCTTCGCGAACACCGCTGCGCGGCGGAGGCCTCCTCCCCCCCTGCGCGGCCTCCGGGCAGCGCCGCGCCGTCGCCGCCCGTGCCCTACGGGCTGCCAGCGTCGGCGGCCAAGGCCCCTGTCGCAGTCACCGCCCGTCCTGACCGCCCCTCCTCCTCCTCCTCCTCCTCCTCCTCCTCCTCCTCCTCCTCCTCCTGGCGCAGCTGCCGCGAGCCATGGCTTAGGCCTGATGCCCACGAGGTTGCGGTTCCTGATAGCGGAGAACTTTTTCGACTCGGATTTCGGGGCGAGGTTCGGCGTCTTCTTGGAAGCCGCGCGGGTGGATCATGCCGAGGTCGTCGTCCACCACTCGGGCTCAGTCGGAGGAGGCAGGCACGCAGCCCAGCCAGACCCAGCGGAGCACGCAAGAGAAGGCGCCTGCGGACCTCTTGCGATCGCCGCCGAGAAGAGTCAAGATGGGGGGTCAGTGGTTGCCGAAGCCCCCGCCGCCGGTGAAGATCACGATCCCGTGGCGCCGGGTGGAGCCGTCCGCGCCTGCTGCGGGCAAGGTGAAGAGCGCCAAGGTGTTCAAGAAGAAGGCGAAGAAGAAGCAGAAGGACCAGTCGGTCCGGAGCCT